GAACTGTAACACTGAGATTTTTCACCCAATTTTTTTATTTATTTTTAAAACATTTATTTAACCGAATACGTTGCGGAAGACTTATTATGTTTATTTCAAAAACATCACTAATGTTACATTCATGTAAAAACAAACCCATTAAAATTCAAAGTTCACAAAAACATAATGATGAAAATCCAACATGTTTAAATGGTATCATAACTAAATATACTAAATAAAACTACCCAATGGTTCCCATCCTCACCAAGGCATCATGTCAAGCTACATGTTCCAATACACAAAACCAACAAGCAAAGGACAAGTGTTAGCATAAGCTAAGTGAGTCAATATAGTACAGTGTTAAGAGAACACACATATCATAGATGGATTTACACCAAACATCCACATACAGTCAAAGACGCACAAGCAAGACATATCACACCACATAACAAACACAGGTTTAGCTCAATTTATTTTAGTTCTTCTTTTAGAGCTTCTTTTATTAGTTGCTCTCCTCAACGCCGCTGTAACTAATTTTATTTTATCGATTCTCCGCTTAAATATTAATATATAATATTTTGTTTCTCCGCTTTAAATTAATAACTACTCACCACTCACCATCATTGTAATTATTAAAGTAATACCTCCTAGTTAGGGTCTATTTATTCACCACAAAACCCCAAAAGCAATACCCCGTTCGCTACTAACGTGACCGACACGACCCAATGCACTAAGTGAGACGCGACTCTCACCCGTAATCATTGCTCCCAGTGTGTTGCGTTTGCGACTCCGACTTTGCACATACGTATACATGCGTTGTCGTTCAGGATTGGTACGGGCGGTGCCAATTCCAACAAGTTACACCTTCCAATTCCACTGTATCAATTATCAAATTATCAAACACAATCAAATTACATAAATTACTCAATTACTAACCATTAATTTATGATATCAAACAATGTATCAAAGCATCAACCATAATCCAAATTAAAGACATTAATCAATTACAGTTTACAAACCTGATATGAAGAAGTTGAAGACTGTTGTCGAGGGTCGGATCTAGGGTTTGTTATTGTCGGTGGCGGTGACGGAGACCAAAGGGGAAGGTTGTCGCTCATCGGCGGTTTGGCGGCTACAAAGGAAACGACAGTGAACCAATGGTCAGGAGGAATACGACAATTTTTTTAAATTCTTTTTATTATCTGATTTAAAATGCATTGGAGTAAATGAATTCAACTTTGGGATAATAAAATATAAAACATGAGCTTTTAATTCTTTGTTTATAAAACATGGTAGGTCATGTCACAAATGATTTTTACATATAACTTGTAATAAAAATTATAAAATTAGGTGGGTCAAATGACCCAACTTTGGATTAAATAGAATCGCCAATGAGGAGCAATATCATACTTTTGAAAAAAAAAATATATCCTCGGATTGCTTCGAAATCTCGTTGTGAACTTGTGTTTTAGGATTTTGTTATTATGTGGGTTTGGTTCTTTCTTTTGAGTTACAAATTTGTTTTTAACCTTGTTTAAGATTTTTAGGAATAATTTTTAACATTCTTAATTCATTGGATCTTATGTTGGTGTCTAGAACAAAGAAACGACAACCTTTTTCCCGAGTCTTGTCTCGAAATTCACAAAGCGAAGAGCTATACTTTTGAACACTTTTAATCCTTTAAATCTAAGTTTTAGCTAAAATTTTACTGCTCAAAATATAATCAAAATCATGTGTTGCAAATTGCTTGGATGTGAGTGTTTAAAACGAAAAGTAAGCCCCTAAACATATGTTTGGGATCATTCATGCCCAAAGATTGAATAAAAGATGAAAAAAATATGTATGGGTACCCAACATGATAGTTCAAGGAGGTCCTGAGAAGTAAAAGTAAAAATAAAGTATAATACACATGTGATCAGGAAGTAATCTAAGTAGATTTATTTGGTATGGTTTGTAGGGGTGCAGAAACGGAGAAGTTCATATGTCTCGCGAAAATAGCATTGTCGGGATTTTGCTTGATAGAATCAGGTAAGTCTTCTCATTATACGATGTAGGATGTTAGCTGTCTTTGTGACTTTTGCATTGTGTGTTGGGTGGGGACCGTTTGTATGCTAGGTCGGGTCCGTTATGTTGGGCGGCACCCGTTACGCTGGGCGAGACCCGTTACGCTGGGCGAGGCCCGTTATGTTGGGCGGTGCCCAATGTTATGTATGGTATGTGGTATTTTGGGGGAATTCACTAAGCTTTGTGCTTACAGTTTCATGTTTTAAATGTTGTATTTCTGGTTCTAAAGGGAAATGCCCGACTTGATTGCATTGTATCCTCTAGAGTTTTATTCCGCACTATCTTTTTATGATTTACTCTCATGTTTGAAAGCATATTACACTTTGGCTATCTTTGAACAATGAATGAATGGTTTGGATTGTTATTAAAAATGAAATCTTTTTCCTAGTATTTTTGGGACATTACAAGTTGGTATTAGAGCCTTGGTTTGAGGGATTTGGGCACACTTACAGGTGTGTCTAAACTCAAACTGAGGATTAATAAAATCCTTTTTAAAGAAAACGATTTTTATAAAAGGTTTTTACAAAGAAAAGATGTTGTGATGCATGCAATCAGCCGAGAATAAGTAAGTAATTCTCAAAACACCCATACACGAATGTTATGCTTTAGTGTGCTTATATGTTGATTGCATGCTAGAATAAGGCTAAGGATATGCTCAGGAGTGCGTGATAGGATGCTTGATTATGATAGATGTCTTTATATGCCTCATATTTGAACTTTTAGAGATGCATGATATTGAGTGGGTTAAGGATCTTCAAGAATTACGTGTTAGAATTGTCTAATATTTATGATGCCTTGTTTGTCTGTTGGTTTTGTTGCTCGAATGCTGCTTGCTTTGTGCTATGTGAGACTTATATTGATGTTAATTAACTATTAAATGAATACTTTTGGGTTTCATGCCACAAAGATTAACTAGTTTTAGAGTGTTTGATTTAGCTCTATTGTGCAACTCTTATCTGAGTCCAACCGTTGTAGTGCAGGATCTTGCAGTCGAAAGATTGTTTAATTTTTGTTGCATGTGATAGTATTTGTAAGATAGTTAGTTGGCACTGGTAGAAGTTCCTTCTCATACGTCTTCTTACTTCTTGTCCTTCCTCCATGTAGCACAAAATATATATAGTTTATGAGAAGTTTTCACTGAAACCAACAACATAAAGCAAAAACCGATTTGTTTAAATGGTGATAAATTTGAGACGACAACAAGGAAATCTTTCCGACAATGGACTAATTTTATAGCATTTATCTTTAAAGAAATCGGAAAATATTGCCTAAAATGTTCTCTAATCTTCAATTTTTTTTTCTGCTTGATCCAAAAAAGAAAACCAGATCGCAAATATATGACTAGAAAAATTGTGAATCTCCTTAAATGCTTTCCAATCTTCAATTTTGTTGCTTCTTTCTACAAAAGAAAACAGATCACAAATGGAGGTGAAGAAGACCAGTAAAATTACCTCTTACACATTAAGAATAACTTACCGGTGGGAGGTAATCACCGTCATCGGAAATGAGAGGGTGTGTCGACTCGACAACTTAATATTTGAAAGAATAGGACGTTGGAGACGATGGAGAAGATGATACGTCGTGCAAAGTCGTGTAAAGAGAGCTTAACAACTTTTCTGAATCGTTTGATTACAAGGATGATGACACTGGATCATTAGCTCCATCGGGCAACAAATGGTGAGGAAGATGGGCGAGAGAGAAGACAAGGAAGAGACGTGGATCCATATGCTTCAGTTTTTTTTAATATAAAAAACATATTTTCAAAATATATTTTACAACCTTTTAGTAAATATTTTTCAAACTACATCATTTTTGTAAATATTTTTTATAACTACAATCATTTGGTAAAAAAAAATCCAAGTTACTTAAATATAAAAGTTTGTGATATTCGAATAGAAGTCTACCATATAATTTTCAAATAATCATTAAATCAATTTAATTGTGATTGTCCTTGATTATAGGTGTAAAAATACTTATGAAATTTCACATGCTTAGTTTAATCATTTGATATCTATATTCCCTTTTCAAAATTTCAATATATCCTACAAATATAATTTTATTTTGTACCAAATTTTGGATAAATTTAAAATGTGGTCCATAAAGCCAACATCATGGCGTCAAATTAGCAATTAAATGCCCTCTCACATGGGTCACACACAAGACAACAAAGAATTCATGATTAACCAATTGACCACTCTATTTGTATCTTTTTCCCCACTTGTAAAAGCCAATACAAATGCGTATAAATATTTAGAACAAACTAACTACTAATTAAACCAAAAGGTCCAAACCAATGCATAACTAGGTGGTAGGTTTAGTTTGGTCAACTAACTTATATAAATTAATTTAATTTTTATACTTTTTTAAACTGCGGCAAGGTAAAGGTAGTTTTTTCAAAAAGTTAGACGATATTTTGTGTCTTTTATTATATCTCATCTAACTTATCATCTAGTTTATCAAATGTCATAGAGCTAATTTTTCAAGTTAACAACTAATTTTTAACTACTATTCAAAACATAATCAAAGTCTAAAAGTATGTCAACGGTGCATATTACAAACGTTTGTTCAATTTCGTATCTTTCATTTTGTGTCTTGAGAGAAAGGAAGTAAAAACAATTTATGGTATTTTAAGACAAAAAAGGTAATGTGATTATAAAAAGGGACAACGTTTTTGTCAACTATGTCACGGAATCCGTGAACCTAAAAACAAATAAAAATCCACCGCATTTGCACTATCAATAGTGCTGCAAAAAGATAAGATAGTTGCCAAAAACCTAAGCAAAATCAAACCATATAATAAACCCAAAATCTGTTTCTTTAAACTTTTACCCATAAAATATTGCAACAATCATGCTAATGATTTAATCCTTTAAAAAACTAAATAAATACTACAAATAAAAAATATATTTCCCATTTCTATTCCCTCCCCACCTTCCATATGACACCAAAACAAGAACCATTACACAAAAATATTCTATTACTCGTATCAATCAAAAGAAGTCTTTTCGATTTCACATTCTGTCATTCTCCAATCTCCACCTTTTATCTACCTTTTTCTCTAAACTTTCTATCTCCATTTTCATGGCAAGTCTTGAGGATATTGGGGTTTCTGCACTGATAAACATCATCGGCGCTTTCGCATTCCTTTTAGCTTTTGCTTTTCTCAGACTTCAACCCGTTAATGACAGAGTTTACTTCCCAAAATGGTACATCAATGGAGCTAGGAGTAGTCCTAGACACAGGGGGAACTTCGTTGGCAAATTTGTCAATCTCAATTTCGCTACTTACCTTACTTTCCTTAATTGGATGCCTCAAGCTATGAAGATGAAGGAATCTGAGATCATTGAACATGCTGGACTTGATTCTGCTGTTTTTTTGAGGATTTACATTCTTGGGTACTTCTAACTAACCTTTTCTTCACATGGGGTTCCGTTTATTTCCACAATAAATCACAATTGCGCAATTTCTGTGGAGAAACTTATCAAAAGTCCGGGCTTTTAATGTCGGTTTCTTGAAAATTTACATGGGTTTTCGTTCAATGTGTCAAATTGTTCATAATTTTAGCTTAATTAGTCTTATACTCTTGCTATTATTTGAGAAAGATTGTGAGAATTGGGGTTTTTACTGTTCTTTAAGTTATCACAATTCGACAACTCCTGTTCAAAAAAGCTTGTGAAATTTGGGATTATCTTTTTCTCTAATGGGTTTTTGTTGATATGGTAGAATCTGTCATAATTTGAGCTTCAATAGTAAAATATTCGACTTTATTGTGAATCGATTGAGAAAGCTTATTGCTTTTTAATTTTGGTCAACAAGATTATCTTACTTGGTGAAAAGGGTATTTACGACATTTGATTAGTAGTTAAACAACAGGATAAATAATTAATCTTTAACATCATCCTATTGTAATTGACAGATTAAAGATTTTTGGACCAATCACTATTGTCGCACTCTTGATTCTTGTTCCAGTCAACGTATCGGGTGGGACTTTATTTTTCCTCAGCAAAGAATTAGTAGTCAGTAACATCGACAAGCTTTCAATATCAAATATTCAACCGAAATCTCTGAAGTAAGTTTAAATTCTTCACGATTTATATTTTTATACATAAAATTCAACACTACAAATTAATACGTATCACTCAAATAACGCGTTTCAGTCATATTAATGTCTCGTAGGTTATATTTTCTACTTTCAGATTTTTTGCACACATTTCAATGATGTATTTATTTACATCTTGGATATGCTACATGCTCTACAAGGAATATGATATGGTAGCTTCAATGAGACTCAAGTTTTTGGCTTCGAAAAATCGGCGAGCTGAACAATTTACAGTAAGCTGAAAAGGTCTTTTTTTTTATTTTATGAAATTATATTTTTTTTTGTATTAAACATTTTAAATTTCTTTTTGTAGGTTTTAGCGAGGAATGTGCCACATGTGTCTGGGCGTTCTGTATCTGATAGTGTTGACAGTTTCTTTAAAAAGAACCATCCGGATCACTATCTCTCTCACCAGGTAAAAAGGGCATTAATGTCTTTTGCACATAAAAGAAATCGAAAAGGAGTCTTATCCACACCTTTTTTGATTTTTGTTTTATTGACATAGGGTTTAATGTCCCTGGACATTTTTTTTTGATAATTTTTATTAATTGGTATGATGAATATTTTTTATGTAACTATTAAACCAAAATTATTGTAATTTTAGGTTGTTTACAATGCAAACAAGTTTGGAAGACTTGTTAGGAGAAGACATCGATTGCAAAATTGGTTAGACTATAATCAACTTAAATATGAAAGACACCCTGAAAAACGACCAACTATAAAGGTAGCTACTCTAAATTTTCATATTTGAAAGTTGAAACCTATTTGAGCTTCTTAAATATGCTCTAAATTCTAAAATACAAACTTTAATTTTCTTTTTGATCCTTAGACGGGTTTCCTTGGACTTTGGGGTAAGAAGGTAGATTGCGTTGAATACTACAAACAACAAATTAAAGAGTTTGATGAAAGAGTAAGTGGTTTGTAGTTATTAAAACTATCTACTTTTTCCCTCATGAATATATCTATTTCATTTGTTCTAGAAACATCCGGAATATACTTTTGACTTTGTAGGCTACGGTTGTTACACAAAAAATGATTGGAAGGGATGAGACCAGACAAACATTCTAGGGATAGTTTTGACTTTTGATGATGAGATATGAAGGGTATTCACGTCTTTTTTGCACAAACGAAAGATCCAGAGCAAGTCCTTGTCCTACATTTTCAGTTGAGATAAAAATTGCAATTTTGTCTCACTTCATTGTCACTGTCAGTCTGCCTCTGCCTCTGTCACTTGTCACTGTCAGTGTCAGTCTGTCATTGTCAATTGTCAATTGTCACTTGTTACTATTAGTCTGTCATTATCATTGTCACTTGTCTCTGTCACTTGTCACTTGTCACTTGTCACTTGTCACTTGTCACTTGTCACTTGTCACTTGTCAATTGTCAGTTGTCACTTGTTACTATCAGTCTGTGATTATCATTGTCAATTGTCACTTGTCACTGTCAGTGTCAGTCTGTCATTGTCACTTGTCAATTGTCACTTGTCACTATCACTATTATTGTCATTCTGTCACTGTCAGTCTGTCTGCCACTGTCACTGCACAACAAACAGGGCCGTAAGGTCAAACACGCTAAATTCCAGTTCCAAACTTTGATCGAATTCACATCTTTTCTTTTCTTGTTTAATTTATTACCTGTTATATTAAAATGATAGTTGACAATGGAGCGACAAAAAGTCCTAAAAGATCCGAAATGCATAATGCCAGCTGCATTTGTATCATTCAACACTCGATGGGGGGCAGCAGTGTGTGCACAAACACATCAAAGCAAAAACCCAACTCTTTGGTTAACAAAATGGGCCCCAGAACCCCGTGATGTTTATTGGAAAAATCTTGCTATACCCTTTGTTTCTTTAAGCATCCGTAAACTTGTTATATCATTATTACTCTTTGCTCTTGTATTCTTCTACTTGATTCCCATTGCATTCGTTCAATCTCTTGCCAATCTTGAAGGTCTTGAAAGAGTTGCTCCTTTCCTCAGACCTGTAGTTGAATTGTAAGTAAATTCTTCTTCATCTTTAAGTGAAGTTTATACTTTTATTTAACGACTAAATTCAAGAAATAGCATTTTACTTTTATACTTTTTCTTAAAATCGCTAGATTTATCAATATATATAATGCTCTAATAGGATGAAATGAAAGTTGGATTCTATAATAAACAAATATGTGAAAAGAACATTGCTATTTCTTGCATCGAATTCAATTTAAAATGATCTTGGGTTATAATTGTTGTAAATTTTTTGAATTTTCAGGAGTTTCATCAAATCTTTCCTCCAGGGTTTTCTCCCTGGTTTTGCTCTCAAGTTTTTCCTTTACATTCTTCCTTCTGTTCTTATGGTTATGTCAAAAATTGAAGGACATGTGGCATTTTCAGTTTTGGAAAGAAGAACAGCTGCAAAATATTACTATTTCATGCTTGTGAATGTCTTTTTGGGAAGTATTGTAGCAGGAACAGCTTTTGAACAGCTTGATTCTTTCCTTCACCAATCTCCTACAGAGTAATATTTCCTTTCCAAAATGTATCAAAAGTAAAGTAAATTCCAATTTCATCCCCATACTTTATGAAATTTTATCCTTTCGATCCAGATGTTATACTTTTTTGCATTAGTAGTCCCTAAAGCATATTCATTTTCCATTTTTAGTCCCCAAACTAGGGTGATATTATATTACCCCTGCTTGCAGGGGTCGTAATCTGTAAATTTTATATAAAGCAAGGTCCATTTTTGTAATTTTTTAAACACATGGACCGTTTTTGTAAAAACAATCTTCACAGGGACCTTTTCTGTAATTTATTTTTTATACAGGGACCAAACCTGCCAACATAGGAAAGTTTTAAACAAATGAGCTGTTTCTGTAAAAAGAAAATTCACAGAGACCTTTCAGTAAATTGTAGGGTCAGTTTTTTTAATTTATGTTCTACACAGGGACCAAACCTGCCAACATACGAAAAAATTACCTAGGGGCCAAACCTACCAACATACAAAATTGTTTTAGTCAAAGTCTCAAACCTAAAGAGTATACTATTCATTTAGCAATTGTAATTTGTAATTAGACATGACACGTGTAACTAAAGTAGTCTAAATCAAATAATCTTAGCTTTTGATTAACCACATGGACGAAAAGTGTAACTTAGTTTTGAAATTATATGTGAAAGTTAACTCAACTCATGTTCATTGATTTTAATACAGGATTCCGAGGACTATAGGGGTATCAATTCCAATGAAGGCTACTTTCTTTATTACATATATAATGGTTGATGGGTGGGCTGGAATTGCAGCAGAGATTCTTCGGTTAAAACCATTGGTCATTTATCACTTAAAGAACATGTTTATTGTAAAAACCGAACGCGATAGAGAAAAAGCAATGGACCCTGGAAGTGTAGATTTCCCTGAAACTATCCCTTCTCTTCAATTATACTTCCTTATGGGAATCGTATACGCTGTCATTACTCCAATCCTTCTTCCTTTCATTCTCGTGTTTTTCGCCTTTGCATACTTCGTTTATCGCCACCAGGTATTTTTCTAATAGCCTTTTATTTTTGTTTTTACAATAAAACAATTAGAGACTGTTTGATAGTTGCTAACTTGGTCAAATCTAGGGGTGTAATTGAGTCGAACCAACTCGTGAGATACTCGAAAACGACTCGGCTCAAGTCGAGCTCGAGCTACTTGAGTATATTATCGAACCGAGCTTGAGTATTGGAATACTCAGCTCGTGAAGCTCGCCAACTTAATCGAGCATTGTTATATTTACACATTTACCCTTTGTTTTATTCATATTTACATAGTATACAACCGAGTTGAGTCGAGTCGAGCTCACGAGCTTAATCGCATTTGTATTGTAGATTATTGTAATTTTATTTTCTTAGTAGTTAATCGAGTCGAGCCGAGCTCAGCTAAATCTGAGTAGAGGCATGAAGCTCTAACTAAATCCGATTGAAACCATATTGTTGGATAGCGTGCTAAATGTTCAATATGACTATTTTGTCCTAGTAGTAATGCGGTGAGAGCCCATAAGTGAGGTCTCGGGTTCAAATTTTGGCATCGTTATCATCTTTCTTGTTTTGGACATTATGATTTACCTTCCTCATGTTTGTGGGACCCGTTGGTGGGGGTGTATATCTTAAAGGATAAAAGAATTTCATTTATAAGTTTTTTTTTTTTTTTTCTTCAGATAATTAACGTGTACAATCAACAATATGAGAGTGCAGCTGCATTTTGGCCACATGTTCATACTCGTATAATCGCAAGCTTGTTAATATCCCAATTGCTTTTATTGGGACTTCTTGGCACAAAAAAGGCTGCAAATTCGACTCCATTGCTTGTCGCATTACCCATTTTAACCCTAACGTTCCACAAATACTGCAAGAATCGCTTTGAACCTGCGTTCCGAGAATACCCTCTTGAGGTAATCGAGAAAACCTTCTATCATCGATGATAACGAAGGGTATTTTAGGAAAATTCGCACTCGAATTCCGTATAAACTTCTTGTGGTTTGTTTTTCAGGAAGCCATGGAAAAGGATACACAGGATAAAGCTTCTGAATCTGAGATCAACCTCAAGGCTTTCTTGGCTGATGCGTACTTACACCCGATTTTTCGTTCTTTTGAAGAAGTGGAGTTGTTAGAGGTTAGAGTCGAGAAGAGCCCACCTGACACACCGAGTCAACCAGCTGACACACCGAGTCAACTCGCTTCTGAACCCGTTTCTCCTTCACGTTCTCCTTCTCCCTCTCCACCCCATCACTTAGATCAAGAAGAACAAGAAGAATCTGTTACTGTTCAACACTATGAAGTTGGACCTCCGGCTAATGTTTATCACTATGGATATGAACACCATGAGAACATCTTTCACTACAATATGGATCAATACAATGAGACACAACACAATGTGCAAGACTATATTGTAGAGTCACCACATAGTTACTATCGTTATTGAGCTAAAGCCAAGATTAGTTTGTATTGTATGTTGTTTTAATTTTCATAAGTTGCTAACCATTTTTACAAAATAGTCATGTGAATAGTAATTGTTGGTAGATGTAATGGACATGCCACGTATGGGTTTGTTTATATGATTGTAATCTTGGTTAATCTTTGGAATATATTTTAAGCTGCAAGTGAAGAAAGTAACACACATTATGTAGGGTTTTTTTTGTGTACAATTTGGTCAAATTCGGTTCTTTGAAACCGAAGGAGTTTTGATATAGAAGAAAAGATATATGGAGGGACTCTCGATGGTGTTGTTTCCTTCTAGAGTTATTGACTTATTGTACATATCATTCCATTATATCGTTCTAAAAGTTAATACAATGTTGATTTACCATTTGAAACGATCACATATCATAAATGACCACTTGATGAAATGTATAGCTAAGTCCTTTTCTACACGAGAGGAAAAAAAAAGATTAACCTCGAGAATTCCTATGATATTTATCCTAAACGCGATTAATTTCATTGTTTATTTGTAGAAACATATGAGTTTTCGGCAACGTTTATTTGAAAATTTATCTATAAGAACTTATAAAGTTAAGAATTCTAACACACTAAATCTTTGTTTTCCACATTTTTCTAATTCCAGAATTTTTCTAAAATATAAACTCACACTTATTCCCACCCCACCACATCTACCTACACATATCTAAACACCACAACCCACCACACCCCTACATACATAGGGATGAGAGTGGGTCCAAATCCGGACCGGTAGACCCGGACCCGTAAAATCCAGGAACCGATTAACGGAATATTGTAGGACCGGAAGCCGGACCGGTATATAGGAACCGGCTCCGGTTCGGTTCCGGGTAAAATGGGTCTAGAACCGGAAAACCTGGAAACATTAAAGTGGGTCGGGTGGAACGGGATAAAGTGGGTCTAGAACCGTAAAACCCGGAAATCAGGAATTCTTTTGGTAATTACTTAGTGGTTGAACTTTGAAAATTTTCAACTTTGATATCCCAACTTCGGGGGACTGTAAGTCATTGAATATTATACCAAAAATGATAAAATTATAGTCTAAAATCATATAAAAACTCTAAAATACACGTTGCAAAAAATCTCATGATAATCCGACTTCAAACGAATTAGATATGCATTTTTAAAATTTTACAAAATATAAAAATAAAGTTGAAAAAAAAACAGAAAATTTACAGCTTTGATATCTCGACTTTGGTGGACTGTAAGTCAATGAATATGAAACTAAAAATGACAAAATTATACTCTAAATTCATGTACAAACTCTAAACTACACGTTTCAAAAGACCTCATGATAATCCGACTTCAAACGTGTTAGATATGCATTTTTAAAATTTCACAAAATATAAAAGTAAAGCTGAAAAACGGAAAATTCACAACTTTGATATCCCGACTTTGAGGGACTGTAAGTCAATGAATATTAACTCAAAAATGACAAAATTATAATCTAAAATCATGTGCAAACTATAAACTACACTCTGGAAAAAACCTCATGTCATTCCGACTTCAAACGAATGAGATATGTATGTTTTAAACTTTTCATAGAAACCGGTCCCGACCCCTAAAACCGGTCCCGGTTCCTAACACGGTTCCGGTTCTCAAACCCGGTTTACCTACACCCGAAGGACCCAAAACCCAGATTACCCGGAACCCGGATAAAACCATTCTTTAAACCCGGGACCCGGACCGGTTTTACATATTCCAGTTCTAACAGTTCCAGTTCCGTTCAGATTCCGGTTCCGGTTCCCACCTCACCCACCGCTACTTACACCGATTCCGATTCCCACCCCACCCACCTCTACATACACCCATCTTAACACCACAACCCACCACACCCCTACCTACCCACACCCACCCACCCCCACAAACACACACACACACATACACACACAAACACACACACACACACCCACAAACACACACACACCCCTCCCCATATACACATACCCACCCCCACAAACACCCCCACACACACCCACAAACGCACATACACATACACCTACCCACCCAACACCACTACCACAATCATTGACCTACCATCATCATCACCACCACCATCACCATCACCACCACTACCCCATCACTATCACCAGCACCAGCACCACCATTGCCATAATTGTCGCCGCCACCACCACCGTCTCCATCATTGCCCTTGTCGCCGCCCGCACCACGGCCGCTGCCTGCACCCGCACCGTACCACCGCTACCGTTTTCTAAGAATTAAAATCGATAGAAAAATACACATCTAAACGAGTTTTCTAATTTTCTAAAACTGAAAATGAAAAATGAATAAGTTTTAACTAAACGCGTAAAATGAGTACTACACGCAACCTAAATTTTCACAACTAAACGCAACCTAAATTTTCCGGAGTTTTTCATATTGTTTAAAGTGTACCATATAATACCATCCGGAGTACGCACTACTAACCACAAATAATGGTAGAATGTGAAAACCACCCCATGATATTGTGATGAAACGTGGAAACATCATATTGTGGTGAAATGTGGTCACCGCCACAAATGACCACACCCAATCACATTTTTTCTCTTTATCTCTTTCTTCATTTAATTATCTAAAAAAAATTATTTAAATAATCACAAAATAATTAAAATATAGTGATGTGTTGTGGTGGATATACCAACTTAATGTGGTTGCATGTGGACGTGGTGATGAGGTGACATCCACCACATTACTTTATAGTAATAAGTACTACGGATGGCCTAATGAAGTATACCCGCAAAATGGTTTATCGGGAATAAACAACATATACCAACAAAAATAAAAGAAAAAACAAACTAATACCACATTTTGTAAAAACAATAGATAACCTGGAAAGCGGTAATATACAATGTAAAAATGTTATATCGGGAAAATGGTTTAAGTTGGTCTTTGACATGACCCCTTTAAATATATTCATCGCTTAATGTGTTTTCAAGAATACAACAGTAGAATCGAATTTGAACCAACACTTACCTAAGACCGGAGGGTGTGGGAGGGATGTTTCCCTCACTTTTTGTGGGACACACCATTGTTTCCCTCACTTTTCTTTCCCTCACCTAAAACCCAAGGAATGGGTGGGAAGCTTCCCTCACTATTTTTTTATATTTTTTTTAAAAATATATTTCATACATATATTATACTCATTTTGTAGGGAATTAAAAACCATGAATTTTAATATATATTTTATATTTTTTTTATAGGTATATAATTTTATAAATATTAAAAAGGATAAAAAGAAAAAAGAAAAAAAAATTGTCCAATAGCATGAAGAGAGAGAGTGCGGCACTCCCTCCCCCCACCTCTTTCCCGCGGGATGTTTCTCTCACCCAAGGAGTGGTGTTCAAGAGTGAGGGAAGCTTCCCTCACCCCCTTTCCCGCTCCCTCTCCGTCCAGCCTAATAATCACCAAAGATTGAACACTTTTTTCTAAGACCAATGGGTGTTATAGCATACCTTACTATAGTTTTAGTCCGCCACATCATTTTCCCATCATCCCACAAAAATGGTGGGTGTGATACCAAACCAACCACAATACACATTTTAATGCACAAAGTACTACCTTTTCAAGGTATGTTTGTTTTTCCCGTGTGGTGAAAACATCTTATACGGTACCCATACCGCCAGGGGCGGAGCTTGAACAATTTTTTTGGGGGGGCCGAAAGTATTATAAACTAAAATTAACGTTCTTACATACAAAAAAAACCAAATTTGTTTTTGCAAATAAACACAAAAAAATAACTAGAAAAAGAATTACAACTCAGCCCGACGACATTTAAGGTCTTTAAATTCATCAATTACCGACTTCAAATCAATGTTTTCAGCAATTTCTCCTTCTATGTAAACCACCAAGTTGTTTGCGAGAAAGTCATCCGACATCGTATTGCGAAGACGGTTCTTGAATATTTTCATTGCTGAAAATCCCCTCTCTGTTGTTGCGGTAGAAACTGGAAGTGTCAAGATTAACCGCACCACTCTATCAAGCAAATAATACGTCTCACGTTTCTGAGTTTCCACAAGACCCTTGCATAAGTCAGTAATAGTTGATACACCACTAAGCTTGGGATTCTTTGTCATATCAATATTAAAAATCTCCAATTGATATCGTAATTGAATTCTCTCTTGCTCCGTAAAATCTTCGGGATAATACTTCTCAACAAGACGAAAAATTTGATCAACTTTAATCACTTTATGGTGTTCTTTTGAAACTAAAGTAGAACTAAGACTTAATATCACATATTATATTAACATAAGAAAATAAGCAATGCTCATCATTCATCACTAATTACTTAAACCAAGAAGAGAATATTTAACAATGTGTAATTAGTTGATTCCTAAAATTCCAACAACAATCAAATATAGAGAAAAAACAACAAAACAGTTCATTCTAGACATCTCAATAGGCTCCTAAAATTAGTTGATTCCTAAAATTCGAACATATCAGTTCATAAGTTCATTCTAGTCAAAAGCAACAAAACATGCTCTGAAGTCCTGAACAATTCCAAATTTCTAATGACAAGTATCCAACAACTAAACAAGGGAAACATTAGAAATTATAAAAGAGAGAATTCTCAATCCCTGGAAGGCTGAAACAGGAAAGAAGTCAAGAATTGAGGCTGAAACAACAGCCGAATTGAAAGCTGAAAGCATACCTGATTACTGATTAGCGAAGAATTGAGGATGGGGATTGCAGCTGTGCAATCGTGCAGAACAACCGCAGGTAGCAGCACCGCAGGCTCGCAGCAGCCAGCAGGCGACGAACAGCTTCGATTTGGCGGAGTCCACAACTTTGATTTGGTGATTAACTACTAGCGATTGAGCGAAGAATTGAGGATGGGGGCGGAAGCTTTACTGATTGAACGATGTCGATGATTGCTTCTCTATCTCTCTTGGATCGGCTTCTTGGCAAACGAACATTGGAGCCGATCAGGAGAGGCCACAGCCCAAAACTAATATTGCTGAGCCTATAATTCCGAAAATTAAAAATATATACTCTACTTCTAGCCCAAAATTCACGCGCGGGGGGGGGGGGGGGGTGTGACAACCCGAAATTTCTATTATGTACAACCATTCACTTCAATAGAAGTCAGAACT